CCCATTTACATAATGAGTCATTGTTGATAGGAGTGGACATCGGGTGGTTCGCTATGAGTTTCTTGACCTGATCCATTTACATAATGAGTAATTGTTGATAGGAGTTGACATCGGGTGGGTCGCTATGAGATTCTTGATCTGACCCATTTGCATTTGGATCAAACTAAACTTTCTAATGAGTCTAATTCAGATAGTTTCAAATATAAATACCTAGTCTTAATTCTTGACGTGACAATCTAAAAAATCTTTTGATGAAAGCTCTTATTTGGTGTAGATTTAATGCAAATTAAAATGTGTGGCTGAAAAATCGTGAGTCCATGAAATATATAGTTAAAATTAATTGTTAACATTGACCTGAAATCTTAGTCTATACCAAATACGGGCAAAATATACCATTAAAACATACTTCCTTGAAAAATACACTGATTGTGAAATAGCTCTCTCTCTCTCTCTCTCTCTCTCTCTCTCTCCAGATTATGACAGATGATGAGTTGATGAAAAAAGCTTCATTAAGCATTGAAGGTTAAGGGAAAATTATAGCCCACTCTCACGCTTATTTTATAGGTAATGTAGTATTTTGGTTCCCAATCTTTATTAATTGATATCTGAGTTTTTAACTTTTCAATTGTATAATGCTTAATATTTCTTCACAACACACAAACATAAACATGTAAGCACTTTGGGAAACTGTATTCATTTGATTAATTCATTTTGATCCATATACAAGACTAGCAAAGTTTCTGATTTTCCACATGTATCGCACTGTCCTTGCATTGGAGTTTTCCCTTCTGTTAACACTACAGCCTGAATCACCTTCCTGTCATTGAGTCCTGAAAATTGAAAAGAGAAATGAAAAGTACAGTTAGGATATTGAAGAAGATATATATATTTCTATACCTAAACATAATTATATTGGCTTCTTCTTGCATGCATGCATAGACTGTATTGATCCATTCTCAAGTACAAAAATTGGTTTTTTGGGTGTTCTAAATTTTCAGATTTACAGTAAATGATGCATCCAGTCATGTTTTAGATCGATTTTGTCTTAGATACGTTACAAACGTACACATTGCAATCTTTGAAAAGGTTTGGGGACATCAATTTTGCAAAGCTGAGGAAGTTCCTTTGCTCGTTCTTGATTAACATTAGCCGAGAATGCTGCTTGTTTAAGACACTCGCAAACAGATTTACGGTCTGCTTGAGAAGAGACACTTTGTATCAAAGCCTGAACCCCCTGGCAACAAGGGACAGTAACATCACCAATTCCCATCAGAAATGCTTGGCACGGCAGCATATCTGTCAAGGCCTGTGTGCATGAAATGGCATTTGCAGGGGCAATGGAACTGAAGGAAATCAGGGCCAAAACCACCAGCCCTGGTAAATAATTACTTGAACCCGGCGCCATTTTTTTTATTAAAACGTTAATTGTTTTTTTGCTGTTTTTGGTGGTGAAGTTTGCAGGGAGAAAGTGCCATTTATAGTGAAGGGAATTTAGGGGTTTACTGGTGAAATCCCAGCCAGGGAAGATAGTACTGGGAGCAAATTTTGTGGGAAAATGTCTATTTCAGTTACAAATACAAGTCTGACTACGGTGGGAAATTACATGTGATAATACAAAAACTGACCGGCTTCAATTTCAAAAAAAAGTGTGACAGCCCAAATTATCATTTCTCTCACATTTCTAAATGGTCAAGCCTTTGAATCACTTTGGCTAAATTTCACATTTCATCCCAACCTTTGCTGAAAGGAGCAATCTTTTCCTCAACCTTTTCTGGTCGCAATCTTGTCCTCAACTTTTCATAAACTTCTTCAATGGTCCACACCACCCCTAGGCCGACCGTTGGTACCTTGACCCAAAACTGCCAACACTTCTTCGAGCACCAAAATTTTCATCTACCATCACCAATCCAATCCTGGATAGCCAACATATTTGAGGTTGGACATGATCCGATTCAATTCGATTATCTTTAAAATCGAACCGAACCTGAATTTTCGGGTGTTTAGTAAGTGGAACCGTTGGGTTTAAATTTAATTATAGAATCGTTCGGTTCGGTTCTTAGGTTCCATACAATAATTAAATTTTTTAATATTTAAAATACTATATTAATTCAACTAATTATATGTTCAATTTTAGTTCTTACAAAATAACGTAGTCCAATCTTATGTATCTTTTGTGCCTCTCTTTGTTAATTTTTCATAGATTTGATTGTAAAAATCACATAAAGAGAAAGATAGCAAGCTCATAATAATGAAGAGCGGGCGTAGTCGGACTTCCAATTTGGTTTCCTCAGAATGTAAAAAGACACTTCGGTAAAATAATAGATTTTGGTAAAATTTAGGTCAATTTTATTAAGTTGGGTTTTAGCTGAAAAATTAGAAATAGGAAAAATATCTTTTGAGTTTGAACTAAATTAATTAGTTAACAAATTTATTTAAAAATAAATAAAATAATTTGACTTATTTAAGATAAATAAATTAAAAAATTAGGGAGTTTCGGCTCTTGTTCGATTATTTGGTTTTGGGTTTAGAATCGAGAATCGAACCAAATCGAATCGAACTCGTCGGTTCTCAATTCAGATACTTGTTCGGATATTTAACTTAAGAAGAACCGTTCGGTTCGGTTCGATTCAGTTCAGATCTGGTCGATCCGATTCAGTTCGAGAGTTTTGTTCAATTAAGTGATTGTCTAACGATGACAATGGATTGATATAGCTAGACTTGACTTAGCCCCTGTTTGCCCCCCATTAATTTAAATTTTTGGGGGGTAAATAATTTCTAGAATAGTGATTGATGAGAGATGTGTGGCTGAAAAGTTTTTGATTCGTGTATATTATTATTTTATTTGATGAATGGATGGTTGAGATGAGGAGAGAGAAAAAATTAATGTAATAGAATGAAATATAATGGGGGACAAACAAAGGCTAAATTATCGATTGTCAAGTATGCATGAACGAAACTAGATTACAAATCAAGAATTGAAATAGATAGTAATAGGCGAATTCGAAATCCAATACAATCATCCATAATTTGGTACAAAACACTTTTTTACTTTTTTTTAGATTAATTAAACATAAAATAAAATCAAACTCTCTTTTGTTTACATAATTCGAATCCCATATAAAATTAGTAAATTTGAATTAAATTTATTTCCTGTGGGACGATACTCTCAACTCATCAATTCTATTACTTGTCAACGATCTCGTACGATTGCGGGTTTTGCACGACGAATAAGTTTTTGGCGCCGTTGCCGGAGAATAAAGTATTTAATTTGAATTTATTAGTTTGTATAGGATTTGAATTTTTTTTGTTAATTTTGGCTACCCACCNTTTCTTTCTTTTTTTTCTTTTTTTTTTTCCCTCATAATATGGGAATTGGACTAATGAGCTTGAATAATCGGTTCAATTTGAGCACAAAAAATTTGGCCAAGAAATTTCAAACAAATTTTGATTATTAAAAAAATTTGACAATCGCGATGGAATGGGATGAGGTAGCAATTTTTTTGCCCCGAAACTATCCTACGGTCATGATTAAACAGAACGCTGGGGGCTCGAATTTGACGAGACAAACTGCCATCCCTAGTAAATCGATTATAAACATTTGCCATTTTGAGGCAGAGAATATTTTTACAATTGAACTAGACACGGACAACCCGACAAATTTCTTGCCACTGCTCTCAGATTAAAGTAAGAGTAATCCAGCGTTTGACGGAGATTATTCTTTTTAGTTCAAACAAACATTGTAACAATCGAAGCATTGTCCGCATCTCACCTGGTTCATTGGGATCTCCGAAACATCACTTTGAAATGGACTCGTCTTGGCATTTTTCTTCTTCTATCAGTTTTTTTTCCTGGGGAAATAGGAGCATAGTCTCAAGGGGAAGAGGAAGAGCGTTATTGACTGATGTCTGTAAGTGTTTGTATTCTGCCTCTTTTTTACGCTTTCGAATTATGATTGTCGGAAATTTATCGTGCATTAAGTTCATATTTCATTGTTTTCCAATTTGGTTGCATTCATAAAATCTTTTTATCATGTTTTTGGTACTTTTAAAAGGTTGAAACTAAGGAATATTTATTTGAATCCTTTTCTAATGAATTGTCTGAATCAGAAATCACATGTACCGAAGTTTGGCAACTGGGATGGTGATAATGTACCGTATACTGCTTACTTTGAGAATGCGCGCATAGAAAAAGCTGGTGGAATGAGAATTAACCCTAATGATCCGGAGGAGAATCCAAATGCCTTCAATTTTGGACAGTTTAGAGATGGAAATACTAGCAGTCCTGTTCGCATCAGTCCTGATAAGCCCGTGGCAGCGGAAAATTTTCATCGGGTACATCAGAAAGGTTCTAGTCACAAGAGTATTGGTTCGGAATCAGGCAGTGATAGAAGCACGTCTGATAATACACTCGTTCAGCCACGCCACCAGGGTAGAAGATCTGAACTTAATAATTCTTTGACAGAGAGCCACATCTCACCATCACGAAAACTGAATTACGCTGATGATTTTGTAAGTACATAGTTTCTTTTCCCTTTCCATTCCGTCAGTGGTAATCTCCCGCTCACGGTGGGCATGGGCGACATTTGGTGTTGCCACATCTCGCAAAACCAGATGTTTCCCACACCCACAATGGGCATAATAACTCGTGCCCACTGTGGGTAAGAGTTCAAACCCGGTCTATACAGTAGCTATATTCATAACATTACTTTTTGTTATGATGTTATGAGTACAGAATTTTGATCTGACAACGAAAGTAATTTCCTTTGACAGTCTCAAAGATCAGTGTCTGTTCCAAAATTTGGAGAATGGAATGGCATGGACCCTAGATCAGGAGAAGGCTTTACTGTCATTTTCAACAAAGTGAAGGAGGAAAAGCAAATAGCAGCAGCAAAATTCCCCACTGTGCCCGTACAAACTGCCAACAGTCATTCAACCAACCACGAAAAGGCCAGGAGATCGAAGGTACAGACATTACCAAACTCCTATTTGGTACATATCCTTTTATAATTCAATTTTTTCTAAATTTTTTTTGAACCGCACATTCTTCCAATAAAATAATTTTACATGTAAAATCATAATTTTTCCTACTTTTTAATCACGCTTTCTCCGAAAAATCACTTTTCATAAAATTTATTAAATTTCAATTTGAAATCGTAGACAACAAACATTCATTTAAGCTCAATAAACGTTGGAAGCTGAAATTTGAGTCGCGTCATAGGCTTTTCAGTGATTTTTTTCTCTTTTTTCAGATAGAATATAATAGTCAAAAGAGTTTGTAACTTGTATAGGATTTCCAGTAAACAAATTTGATACTTAATCTACTTGTCATCCTTTTACTGTTGGTGCAGAGATGTTGCTGCCTGTTTTGAAGGGCAATACACTGATAAAATTTGCTCTACTGCTTCAGGGGGGACCTATAGCCACAAAATTGGAACTTTCCATTCTCTTTCTTAGTGAATTACAAGGCATTTTGCCGTAATTTTTTATGCATTTTTTAAGTCTGTAAAAGTACATTTAATTCTTGCAGCATTCAAAAAAAGAAACATATTTCAGTATATATGTCCGGAACTCTTTAGAAGAAAATCATCGACACACAGGCACTTATCCTTTGAGTGGTTAGGAAACATTACTCTGGGATCGTGGATATATGCTTACATTTAATTGAACATGTTATTTAATGTCACATATTTCCACCTAGAATATTGCTAAATAGCATTTTTTTCTTACTAAAATAATAAACCATGGAAAAAAAAAACAAAAAACAAAAAACTTCATTGAACTTGAATCAAAAGAAACAACAAACACTGTCATCTTCAACTAGGCCTGTCTCAATATTTACCTCAGATTCATTTACATAAACATCCCCTGGTTTCATTTAAACAAGTTATTGTTATTCAGTAAGTAATAGTACATATTCAGGTAGCAGATTGACATTCAATATCACACCATAGTTATCATCAGCCCCTTGATAACGTCTATACACAAGATAGAGACATGAAAACTGAAAGTCATTAGCACAGGAAAATGCCAGCCAAACTCCTCCGGCTTCTAGATTTTAAGACATGTATGATGAAGCACTTGAAAATCCTTCAGTTTTTCATCCTCTAAGCCACCATTCATATACATTTGTAGATTTCGGAAAGAATAAAGCAGTGTTGGAATCCTTCTCTCGGCTCAAATATGTACTTGTGACTTGCAAACCAAAGTTACAGACCAATTCACTCATCTATACAGGAATCACTTCACTATTCTGACTTTCATCACACGTCAAAATAAGGCCGTCTATATAGGTTGGGAGAAGGCAACATGGCCAACGACAGCCTGTTGAAACAGGTTCTGCAGGTGGAACAATCATGAGTACATTATCATGCCGCTGGACGACCCCCATGACACTTACTGTACTTCCTTCTTTGATGTAGCTGCAAAAGAAGGCAGCATGAAATCAGCATAATATCAAAAATGCCCAAGGAATGGACAATGATTACTTTTAGTTCAACTTCAGGCCCTCATTCCAGTCCTAAGAAGGGTTTGATATTTGGAAGGAGGTAAAGAAAAAAAGTATATAGCAATTCCAATTCTCCAACACTTAAGGTACCATTTTCTATGGGTAAACAATTCAAATTCCATTCATACCACGCATATGAAAATTAAAGCTGAAATTTTATGACTTTGGAGTGTGGATAAGCTGTAGTTGTGGTTTCTAGCTTCTTGCCAAGATGAGGTCCAAGAATAATTTCATATACCAAGACAGAACAGAGTTTCCTGCATTACATTGCATGGACAGGAATCCAGAATTTGGTCAAATTACCAGGATAAGTTATTATTGATAAATTTTTAGATTTCACAATCCATTGCGTAGTTAGACACACAGAAGTTTAAAGATGTCAAATGCCACTCTTTGAAGAAGCAAATACATGCAAAAACATTCCGTGCAGGACCAGGATATAGTCAGTAGTTACCCTTCTTTCAGACGCATTGTACGGTCATCACTTGACAGGCCTCGGTCAGCAAGCCAGCGTAGAAAGTTTGGAGATAAATCTTTGTTATCCTTTGACACATTGACAACTGTAGTTGGCTTCACAAATGGAGCAACCTTAGCTCCATAGCCTGCTTTTACTAGAGCTCTCAAACCAGACTGAAAGTCTGATATATAAAAATCCGCCACATGCTTCTATTGACAGAAGGAAACAATGCAATAAATCATCACAGCGAGCAGTTTATCCTTGTAAATGATTCAAAACTGGAACACAGGCTTAGCAATATGCTAATATTAAAATCCAGCTAAACATTCGAAGATCTCTACAACTGTATCATCAAAGCATTTACATCCTAGCATCTTGAAGGATAACGCCTTAGGTTGCTGACCTCCAAGGTCAATACAGGAAACCCACCGGAATGAACAACTAAGCATATGTTTGGCTTATGTTTACAAACACTCAAGCCACTTTTTGTCCCCACATTTTGAGGGACCCACAAGTGCTATCAACTTATCAACCACTCATTTCTAATTTAACTGTTTATAAACGCTTAAACGTGCTTTAAAATCTGCAAAATGTGGAGGTCTCATGGCACCACTGTTGATCTGCAAAGGATGTAGAATGGATACAATGGGACTACCAAAAGTGCCTGCTGAAGTCTAGTACTATCATCAGCACAACACTTGTATATTCAAAGCAGTGACATCTAACAATAGGAACATGTTATCTAAAAATTGAGGTCCTCATGGTTGAGTGCATGGGGAAAATGCACCTGCCAATTTTCGGTTCACATTAAAGCTACAGATGTCCAAATAAAATTTCAAAAGATTCTACAAGTTCAAAATACTGACCTCTGAATGCCTGCATGCCCAGGAGAAGAAAGGGTGTCTGGGTTTTGCTGGTTTTCCACCGCATCCCCTGTATTCATACAATTCTGTGGAAACAAATACACATCTTGGTACCCTCTGGAAAGAAGATTCTAGAGGAATGCTACCACAAGTGACAACCTACACAGAAAGATTTACAAGCTAATTAGTGAGAAAAATAATAATTAATCCAACCAGCGGAAGAATGTCTAGGATTTTAAAGAGATCAGTAAGCTCCAGGGGATTCCAGGAGTTTTTAAGCCCTACGCATTAACGTCTGGTTTGCATCCTGTTCACTCTGTCCTTTCTATTACCTTATTGCATTGTTATAACAGCTATCTTATTGCTTGTTGGCATAGGAACACTAGGACTAGGAGCCATAGAACTCAGGCAACACTCGAGAGCACCACTTCCTGTCTGATAATAGACATCACTTTTACAAAGAACATTCCTGATTTTCTAATAAAAATGTATACATTTTATTCTCACTGTTCCTTACAATGATCTCCGATTATTATGGCGAGATTTTGGCATGACATCTTTCATTTTCTTAGACAGTACAAAATCTCATCCTGCATAAACATTAAAATGAACGAATCTTTGAAGTGCACTGAAATATCTTCCATTAAATCCACATTAGTCACCAACCCACTGTTATTTCCTGGATTATGGTGATAATTAGATAAGATATAGGACCTCTCTATTTGATGATACAGTTAACAACATCTAATCAGATGTTTGTGAGACATAAACCCATCATAAGCTCAACAGGGTTACAAAGGGTTGACAGAGTCACAATGTTATGCAATAGTGTCGTACAAATATTTCTCCGTAACATTATGCAGTAAAATTATGCAGCGTTAACAGAGTCATAGTGTATGTGCTGAGGTCACATCAATTTAAAGTTTTCTACTATTTTCTCGAAATAACATATGACTGGGGAAACGTGTTTCTCGTTATTCACTAGCAACAAAGCCAGATCTCAGTGTGTAATGTTGCCATCACATAACTGATGTGTAGGATGGGAGGCTGAACAACTGACATCACAAGATACATGCATGAACAGTAACAACAACTGGAATAGAAATCATAAAGCTCATGTGTTCCAGTGAATATGGCATACTCAATAGGGGCCTGTTTGGTAGGAATTCTCATTTTCTACAGTAAATCAATTCTCATTTTCAACCACACATTCTTCAATAAAATAATATTTTCCATCACATCAATAATTTTTTCTTCTTTTTCGACCACACATTTCCCATCATATCACTATTCAAAATCAATTCTTCCCCCAAAAAATCCCTACCAAACAAGCTCTTAGTATCCTAATTATTCACTGTTTTCATTTTTATAATAGAAACTGCTTAAGTAAAAAAAAAAATACAAAACAAAAGAATTGAGTGACATGGTCGTATAATAATGACTCACTTCAAATAAATAACGGAAGTAGCCCAAATTCAACTAGTTCACAAGCCTTGTGAAGAAAATTTCCCCTTAAATAATTGGCTTTAAATATCAATCTTTAATCAAAAGTTGTGAAGGATTAGTTCCAGATACCAGCATTACCTTTTTTGCATATAATTTCAGCATTAAATTTTTTATTATTTGAAATGTCTATAATTATTATACTAGCAATGGTCAAAATGTCCCGAAGAAATAATTACGCATACTAGTTGATGGGAATCCTCATAGAGATATTTATTAATTTACTTTTCAAATAGGATGCTTATTAAATTAGTGTTTAATTTAATAGATTTTCTAGTATTTTCCTACATAAATTAGACTATTTAGGCTTATGGATTATAATAATTGATTTTTTTTCCCCTCTAAATTCTCTCTGTTCTCTTTCTCCTCTGTTTTCCTCTTTCTTTCTCAATCTTGTTCTTATTCGATGAGTCCTAAATCTGTTTCTCCTCTCACTTCTTGTTTCTTTCTCAATCTCGTTCTTATTCAAATGTGTTATACGTCACTACTGTAAATAGCTCAAGACCTAAACATCTACATAACATAACACTAAAATATTACTCACCCATCCACAATTATATAAAATTAGCAATTGAACCAAATACAAATTTAACAAGCTCGAGTATATGAGATTGGCGATATTACCCCAGTGACCTTGACGTACTGTCCATCAGCGGCTCCTCGCAGCTCTGCATCTGGATACTTCTTCAGAAAACTTAGAACCCCTCGCTTTCTGTAAGCATAATTCCATATTAAAATCACCACCGCAGGAACTAAAAGTGCCACCACTGCCACCAAAATCACCGGCTTCTTCACCGCTGCCATAAGGAACGCCCCCACCACCAAGCCAATAACTACAACCACCAAGAACACCCNTGCCATAAGGAACGCCCCCACCACCAAGCCCATAACTACAACCACCAAGAACACCCACATTGCCACCCTCGAAACCTTGAAACCCAATTTCACTCCCTCCCCCAAGCTCGTTACCGCCGACCCGTATTGAGTTTTACTAAAGGAGCTATGCCCGGCGGACGGACTGTCGAGCTTGCCGGAGCGGCGGTTGGCACTGGTGGAGCCTAATGGGCCGGAGGTAATGAGACCCGTGGGCTGAATAGGCGTGATAGGCCCTGAGAACGAGGTGGAAGAAGACTTCTTGTTAACTGGACCAGAGTTTGGGCCGGATCTAACGGATCCACTATTCTGCTGAGAAGATGAAGAGTGCCGGGAAGGAACTTTAGGCGGAGCCGGCAGGTGGTCTGCACTTGATAAATCTATGCCGTACATTTTTCCTAGCTCGCCGGATTTCTTAACGTCGCCCCCGGTGTACGGTACGGCGCGTGAAGCCACCGTCAGTTGGCGATCCTTAGGTAGCTGCCCCGGTCGACCCGAGACGTAGAGTCCATTGCTTAGCTGGTGTGACCCGGTTCGGACGTTCATTTTAGTGTGAGAAACTTTACTGAAGTGAGTTTGCTGAAAGAAGAAGGTGCTTTTAGTGCGAGCATAGGTGGGAGGGGTTGATAGTCAAATGACGAGAAAGGACATAGGATTATGTATAATGACGTTTTTGTCCTTTGTCTTTGTATTGGGGTACAGCATGTTCTGTGACTTGCTGCCGTTACGTCCACAATTTAGTGCGTGTTCGATAGAAATTAAATTTAAAAAATTAGTTGTTAATGTTGAGTTTTATTAGACGAGTGGAACCCAATAACGGCTATATTTTCAATTTTAATTGAATTTTAAGGTTAGCCAAACATGCTCATTTTTAGGTTGGTGTTTTGTGACGTCAGCAGTTTTAGTTTTTATTTGTAATCTGCTCTCTGTTTTTTACCTAATCTTTTACCTACACTCACAATAGGGTGTGGGGACCACATATTTGGAAATTTTTTATTTATGTGGGTCACGTGCACATGTGAGAGGGTATAACATTTTCAGTACAAAAAAATTGATACATATGGAATTGTCCAACAAAATAAGCCCAGACTAAACATTATATTTTAAGAATAAATTTTATAAAAATTATTTTTAAAAAAAAAAAAAGTGCAGTTAAAAGTAGAAAAAAAATCAAATTTATGTGTAAAATTATGTTATTAAAAAATATATATAATTAATAATGAATTTGATAAAAATGAGTTTCAAAAAAAATAGGGATGGGCTAAAGTTTCAAAATAAAGATGGCGAAAACTAATGAGTAGAGTATTTTAATATTAGACGGACTGAAATGACTAATCTATCCTCGTAATTCAATTGTTCTCTCTTTCTCTGCCATTCTTTTGGATTTACAGTGATTTTGTGTCGGTCACAGTATGGGTCGGGTCCCAATTAGGAGAAAGCCCTTAAATATTAGGTTTTGGCCAGAAAATCCCTAAGCGAATGACAACACAATTAAATGCATTCATTTATTGTGGGTGGTGGGTGGGTGGTTAGAATGAAAACTTGTTACATATAATGAGTTTGGGGGACTTCAATTTCAAGCATTTCTTGAATTTATTTAATTTCTTCAAGTGATATTAGTACATGTTTGACGCTCTTTTATGATTTGTTACAGTATTATTTTTAATCACATATTCACACAATAAAATATATTATATACGTATTATATATATAAAAAAAAAATTCTATTTTTTAATCACATATTGATCTAAAAATAGGATTCAAAACTCATTTTTTCCCAATTAATAAGAATCAAACAGGCTCTCAATTTATTCTACCAAGGATAATTCTATTTGTACCAGATGAGAGTTACAGAAAATGTGCCACCCTCTCACATGTGCGCGGAGCCCGCGTGAATAAAAAAACTCTCAAATGTGTGGTCCTCACACCCTATTGTATATAGATAAAAGATTATGTAAAAAATTGGGTGTACAATTAGCATGACCATTCTACCAAACTTATCTATCGTATATGACATTTTTCATATACCTTTTTAGAGGTTTAAATGTTTTAAGTTATTGGATTATTTTCAAGAGATTATTTAAATATAAATTAATCTCTATAAAGAGTTAATTCTTAAAATTATGCTCTAAGAAATAATTAAATTAAAATGGTATTGATATTTTTTGAATTTATTTAAACTTTGTTTAAATCATTTCTGTATATATATATAATTAATAATGAATTTGATAAAAATGAGTTTCAAAAAAAAATAGGGATGGGCTAAAGTTTCAAAATAAAGATGGGGAAAACTAACGATTAGAGTATTTTAATATTAGACGGACTGAAATGACTAATCTATCCTCGTAATTCAATTGTTCTCTCTCTCTCTGCCAATCTTTTGGATTTACAGTGATTTTGTGTCGGTCACAGTATGGGCCGGGTCCATAATTGGGACCGCAGGAGAAAGCCCTTAAATATTAGGTTTTGTCATTTTGGCCAGAAAATCCCTAAGCGAATGACAACACAATTAAATGCATTCATTTATTGTGGGTAGTGGGTGGGTGCGTGGGTGGTTAGAATGAAAACTTGTTGCATATAATGAGTTTGGGGGACTTCAATTTCATGCATTTCTTGAATTTATTTAATTTCTTCAAGTGATATTAGTACATGTTTGACACTCTTTTATCATTTGTTACAGTATTATTTTTAATCACATATTCACACAATAAAATATATTCTATACGTATATATAAAAAAAAAATTCATTACTTTTTAATCACATATTCACCTAAAAATAGGATTCAAAACTCATTTTTTCCCAATTAATAAGAATCAAACAGGCTCTCAATTTATTCTATCAAGTATAATTCTATTTGTACCAAATGAGAGTTACCGAAAACGTGACACCCTCTCACATATGTGCGAAGCCCGCGTGAATAAAAAACTCTCAAATGTGTGGTCCCCACACCCTATTGTGTGTAGGTAAAAGATTATGTAAAAAATTGGGTGTACAATTAGCATGACCCTTCTACCAAACATATCGTAAATGACATTTTTCATATACCTTTTTAGAGGTTTAAATGTTTAAGTTATTGGATTATTTTCAAGAGATTATTTAAATATAAATTAATCTCTATAAAGAGTTAATCCTTAAAATTATGCTCTTAAGAAATAATTAAATTAAAATGTTATTGATATTTTTTTGAATTTATTTAAACTTTGTTTGAGCCTCATTTTTTCAAAAATTCATTTTCAATCATATATTTTCAATAAAATAATTTTACTCGTAAATCAAAAAAAAATTCCTTAACTGCACATTCTCCCGAAAATCACTGTTCTAAAATGCATTTTTTTTTCCCAAAATAGATCTCAAACAAGGTCTTAGTTTTTCTTTTTATTACTATGAAATGATATTCAATTTATCACAAATGACATTTTTCATATACCTTTTTAGAGGTTTAAAGGTTTAAGTTATTAGAGCATTTTTAAGAAACTCTATAAATATATAATTGCTCTTTATTTTAAAAGGTTAATCCTTAAAATTATACTCTAAGAAAATCTTTAAACCAATATTTTAATTTAGAGAATGGATTTGACTCTCTGAATTTGAAGAGTTAAACTAACTCTCTATAATTAAATACGCTCAAAGTATTTAAATTTTCAATAGAAAAAAATAATATAATAATTTAGAAAAAAGTTGGTGAAAATAAAAGATGGGGAAAAATAATAAAATATTTTCTAAAAATAATAAAATTAAGTATTAAATATAAAGAGATTTTTGGAGCACTTAAAAAATTTTATTCTCTAAATTGTAGAATATATTCTTTGAAAATCGAAAGTTTTTCGGAGATGCTTATCGCTTTCAAATCCTTCGTTTACGAAAGGTAGGTATTCTCTTGCATTCTTAAGCTAAATACATAGGAGCATTGCATTTGGTCGGTCATGTGCACTCAAAGTTGTAGGACCACTTTGAGTAATAAGAAAACTTATTTTTATTTAATTTTCAATAGAAAATGTCGTAAAACGAAATAATATTTCCAAAATAACGATCATGATGTAAAATTAACAAGTTTTATTCAGCATGCGATTACTTTTTAAAAAGTATAATAAAATATTTCCAAAATAACGATCACAATTTAATAATAATAAATCTTAGATTACAGATGAAGTATTTCATCAATCACTTGTTAAAAAGTATAATAAAATAATAAAACTCCATCAATGACAATGATAGTTTTTATGTCTATGATTAGAAACTAAGGGCGTGTCTAGGCAAAATTTAAATCATAATTCTTGCCGTTACCACAGTGAAATGTCCACAGTTTTTGACTTTGTTGAGTCACAACAGGCCCCACCATTTGAAAATTAATGGTCAAAAAATCCCATTTCTGCTGATTTTCAGTGCTCCCAGACATGCACTAAAGCTACTTGTCAACTACATTGTCGTTCTTGAATCGCCGATGTGAGTTCGTCGATGATGATTGACTGTTAATGACATGTTGATTTCTGTTAGAATCATCGACAATAATATTGTCGACAAAATTCCTATCACTAATCTTTTGCTCTATTGATTTTTGTTATTATTATTTTTAAAAGAGTCACTTAATGTGTTTAGTGAAACTTTAATTTTCATCGACAAAATCAAGCATCCTACATTTTTACAAATAATAGAGAGAAATAACTTCATACCATAACCATAGTGGCAATCCATCCTAAACAATGAGAACTTGTCTTTTTTTTTTTTTTTAAAAAAAAACACATCAAAACTTGGCAATGCAAACACAAGAGAACGGAAAATGACATGAAATCAAGACGTACAATTTATAATTGACTCATTTTTCTAGGTCGTAACACTTAATGAAAATATAACAAACAATTTTCCATTCATTAGATGCATAAATGCATATGCGAATAATAAAATTGTCTATCTATCGCTCACTCAATCGTTACAAAATATATTAACATTGTGCTTGAGAGCAAGATTAATGTCACGTGACATTAGAAAATTTTAACACATACTTTGTCAGGACTTGAAAGGGTAAGCTATGAGAAAAACCATATAGAAGAGCAATAAATACATTGATTCCCTTATTGATTATGATAGGTGTCTTGCTTTATATTGATGCCTTGGCATTGGTGTCGTGAAATTGTACGCTTTTGGCAAGGCATCGGGATCTTTTTGTAATGGTGTGCGTGTGATTGGCGTGTTTGGCCAAGTTATGTACGGAGTTTGCATGGATATATGAGGAATGTGTGCGTCCGACAAGGATATAAAATCGTACAATGTTGGATTTACTTGATGACAGCATTGCATGCACGAGATTTCTTGGCAACAGCACGAGATTGCTATTGAGTAAGTGGAATTTTTGTGACAAAATGTGCACGATTACTCGTAAATGTGTAGGATTTCTTGACAAAATATGCAGGATTGTGGTGCATAAAACTTCTTAAACTTTTAAGAAAGTTTATATTTAATATTCATCACCGTCTCATTTAAAAATACATAAAATCATTCAAATCAGACTGTGTAATCACTAATCATTAGCATGTCGTTCAAAATTTTGCCATCCCATTATACTACGTAGAAGTTCAGCCAAGAAAGGTTTTCTTCCTAAGGATTCTAAACATGTTTTGATTTATTCTTCATTTTTATAGTTGTTGAACTAACGTGGAAAATGGTTAGTACTCTCATTGAATTATTCAAGAGGGAGAAAGAAAAGGAAATAGTTATTTTCGTGTAATTTTCGGGTCCAAGTCTGGTGCACTTGATCTAGACCTTATCTAGTAGAATAGCCCAATTCGAGTTGTTCACAAAGACATCACAAAACAAAATCAACTTGCAACCTACGGCCCGTGCCATTGTCTAGCAATTGCATTAATACGACACATTTTACATTATTTTTCTAGAACGGTAAGAAATCGAGAAATAAAAACATTTAAGAAGACACCTTTTTAATCATACATTTTTTTATCTCATATGGTTCGACAAGAAAACATACGAGAATTAGTTCGTCCAAAAGAAAGTGATTACCCTTCATCTACAATTCTACTCGAGGTAAACTACATATTATACATTCTTAAACCTATTTCCCTCCACAACTAACAATGATAACATCAGTACGATTGTGTAACGCCTTCATTCTCGTATAATTTTCCCTTCTTTGTACTTTATATTCTGTCAAGGCACTCTCAGTAAAAAAAATCCTTAGAGAATGTGTAATTGAAAATGAATTTGATGAAAAATAATTTTCAAATAAGTTGTGTCAAACAAACGTTTAGTTTAAAACGAGTCATGAGTGTCTAATTAAACCAAATTAAGGAAATTCCTGATGCCAATAGACCATCACACTTTGGATGGATATAAATCTCATTTGCTTCATTGCAAACTTTATCCATGGAATCAATCTGCCACTTGTCTTCATCACAAAATGGCTACCTGTTAAAACTTAATAAACCAATCAACATTTTCAAATTTAATTGATGAATTAATTACTTGTCTTCTATAAAGTGCTTAACTTTACAATTAAGCTATGTCCACTTAATCGAGTAAGCATTGAATGATGCATAAGAAAACTGGAGAGTTGGATTCCTTTGGAAAAGAACACTTTTGAAACCAGAACTCACGGGTCATCTCTGAAATTATCTTCATCTGCCCTTTTCCTGATCATGTTATGAATAGCCAATTCAACAGAGATGAGAACTTCTTGAATATGGAGGTGTCATCTGGTTACTACATGAAATCCCAGCAGCTCTGTTCTGTATTTATCTATAGAACCCATGTTCCTGAACCAGTTCATGCACTTTCTACAATCAAATCACACTTTCAGAAGGAAAACAACTTTTGATTGTGTGTTTTGACCCTTCTTTCTTTGTCTAGAAGAAAGATTTTGTTTATATATTCAATGGCTACCTTGTGTTTCAATCCATTTCGACTGCGAAAGTGGAAGAGCAAATCTTTATCATTTCCTTCTACTTCAAGAACACAGTTAAGCGATGATGCAGACAATATGGAGAGGAAGAGATTTGACAGTTTGGAATCTTGGTCAATGATATTGGATTCTGAGAATGTTGAGACTTGGGAAGCATCTGAAGATCAAGAGGAATGGACGGCTGATCTTTCTCAGTTATTTATAGGCAATAGGTTTGCTTCTGGTGCACATAGTAGAATTTACAGAGGAATTTATAAGCAGAGAGCAGTTGCTGTAAAAATGGTGAGAATTCCAACTCATAAGGAGGAAACTAAAACTTTGCTTGAACAACAATTCAAGTCGGAAGTCGCCCTTCTTTCGCGTCTTTATCATCCCAATATAGTGCAGGTTAGATTTCCTTTAATATTTGTGAATTATGAAAATCATACAAAATTGCAGATCAACTAGTCATTCTGGAACAACACACTCCATTTCAACTTCTTTTTCGTATTTAATCTTGTCGAATCCAACCTACCAAACATGACCTTAATATAACAATTCAGAATTCAGACCCCAGGAAACAGCTGGGCATTCTTTCAATTATGTAACACTTTGGTTTGATGCACTTTTAACAATAATAGTATTTCAAGAACTAGTCAATACCATTACCAGCAAATGATTTTTACAATTAATTTAGCTTGCAGCTGTGTAGAAATTTCTTACAGTTACCTATTCTTTCTGTGCAGTTTATTTCTGCTTGTAAAAAGCCTCCTTTATACTGTATCATTACTGAATACATGTCACAAGGGACTCTAAGGATGCATCTCAACAAAAAGGAGCCATACTCGCTTTCAACTGAGACGATTCTTAGGTTAGCCCTCGATATATCACGAGGAATGGAGTATCTTCATTCACAAGGGGTGATACACAGAGACCTCAAATCGAACAACTTGCTATTAAACGATGAAATGAGGGTTAAGGTTGCAGATTTTGGCACGTCTTGTCTCGAAACTCAATGCAGGGAAGCCAAAGGGAATATGGGAACTTACCGTTGGATGGCACCAGAGATGATCAAGGAGAAACCTTATACTCGGAAAGTTGACGTGTATAGTTTTGGGATCGTCCTATGGGAGCTCACGACAGCTTTGCTTCCTTTTCAAGGAATGACTCCTGTCCAAGCTGCTTTTGCTGTGGCCGAGAAGGTTAGATTTTATGACTTCTACTTGAATTTTTAAATTAAATGGCTGAGAGCATAGTCATATCTAACTCTTTCTTTTTCCTCTTTCTTTTACCATTTTATAGAATGAGCGACCACCATTGGCAGCAAGTTGTCAACCTGCGCTCGCACACCTTATCAAGCACTGCTGGGCAGCAAACCCATCTAAGCGTCCTGATTTCAGTGATATTGTATCTGCTCTGGAAAAGTACGACGAATGTGTAAAAGAGGGTCTCCCACTTACTCTTCACTCAGGGTTAGTAAGTCGAAACACCATTCTTGAATGCTTAAAAGGCTGTGTATCCATGAATTCATCTGTAACTGTACATAGCTGACTCTTTTGGACAAGTATTCACATTGTATTCTGCTGTTAATTTGGCTTACCAAAGTTGATAGATTGGTTTGTATTTTTTGACTTGTAATCAGCATCAATAGGTGTTGAATAGTGGTTGGGTGAACCTTTGATCGTGCTCGATAGTACATAGTATTGTAGAGGACTACACACTACAACGGATAAAATTTTAATCTCTCTTTCTTCATTAATACTGTTCAGCGTAGATTCATATCTAATGCATATCAAACATGTTCAATCAATAAATAGTCTGTTCAAATGCTTTTGGCAAAAAGGATGAACCACATCCTTAGCGGCCCCCACCTTCCCTGCCCTCGATCCTAGTGAAGGAGGTAAATCGCAGGTTATGCCTCCGAGGGTACAGGGTGGAAGGCTACTTATACACTTGCACTTACTCAAGGGCCAAATCCATATTTCAG